AGATTTGCATGAATTTTGCCTGTATAGTTTAAAAGCTATGTTGCGCTCAGGTCTTGCTTGCAAACTTCCTGCTGATCCCTGGTTGGCTACTGTGAGAATAGGATGCTGGACAAGACCGTTGATCCAACAGGCTACTCTTTTGTCAAATAACTGCACAATAAGCAGAAACTGCCCACAAAAATAATCTTGGAGCAGTCAGAACTTCCCATATTTATGAAAAAAACAAAGGCATCCCACTTCCTACAACCACCTTTCCGCTTTCTTGGTATATCCACCATATTTAGACTACTCTGCAGACATATCTCCATAGCATTGCTGTTATTCTTAATAGGTTCGTGCAGATAACTTATAATGGAAGCTAAAGATTGGGTTCACATCACAAATCTGCTCAGTTCCTCCCCGACTTTCTCCACATTTGACTTAATTTTTTGTGTAAGGTCCGCGTGGGGCCGCGCCTCTAGTTTGTTCCTCATTCACTCTATAGGCCGCCGAGCAGCCCAGTGCTTGTCCGCAGAACACTTCCGGTTCACGTGGCGCGGTACATCGCTGCTCTGGCAGGTCCAGCGCAAGCACACGGAACACTTACCTTCCCGCGTAGTTAAGATATCTTCAGCACTAACATAAATGAACCTTGGTTATAAATTGCTATACAGGCTGTGCACAATCATGCACACATGTTAGTCCTGACATTCCATCACACTCTAGTGTGACTAAGTAACCGAACACAAGACAGAGAAGACAGGAGACTTTCCTTTTAATTGATTGGCTCAAAAGGCTCAGGGAACACTCCTCTGGTCCCCCTGCAAAGGTGAAAATTTGAACCAGGAATTTCCTAATTCTGTTCTCAATCTCTTATTCACTATACTTAACAAGAACTCAAACTAGTTAGGTACATACACGATCTTGTCATAATTAGACTTCATGCCTGTATCCATGGTGACCAAGTCCCCACTCCCAAGCCTGTACAACAAATTCAAAAATGGCAATTCCATTTTAATTTTAAAGATGTATATAATGATTTAAAAATGTACTGACATTCCACTGAATGTCAGCAATTCTTTTGACATTTTGAATGAATGAATTTTATGACATTCATTTTTTCATGGGAAAATGTTTACAAATGAACAAAACAAACAAGGAAAAACAAGGAAAAAAAGTCAGGTATTGTTAAGGAAGTACAAAATTTGCTCAAAGTTTCAAAGAAATGCTCAAATGCAACCAACACAGAAAGAATATAAAAAAAGAATACAGACCTTACCTGGCAATGCTGCCAGATTTCATTTTTACATTCTATTTTTATTACTTTATCATCAATCCAAACATTATGAAGATACAGAAAATATTGTACATAGAAATCTGTGTCTGCACAGAAATACCGTCTACTAGACACAGTTCTATAAGTGGGAATTTAGGTGGTTGCCCCAACAAATTGTGACAAGCACAAGTTGTTCTGAAGAGAGAAACAGGGAACGAAATATGGGGTAGCTTTGGTTAACTGTGTACTCACGTCTGCATAATGGCCTCTCATATCACAGCGGTTACAATGTTTTTTCCAGTACGTTCTCTCAAGGCACTCTCTCGAGTAGTGTCCAGGCAAACAACAATTTAAACAAAAACGTGCAGGACAGCTGTTTTGTAGGTGACCTCTTTCGGAACACAGACAACAAGGTGGAATTTTCTGTCGGAGAAAAACAAAGACAGGAAATTCAAATGTCTGAAGCATCTGTAGCATTTAAATTAAGTAAAATGCACAAGGAAACTATGGCAAAATCACATTGAGAGCCAGAACGAACCATTATCACTTTGCTTAAGGCTTCCTATCTACATGATTTATTTAAATTTACACTATGCCATCCTGTGCTAGGTGCCTGAGGTAGCTAACAGTAATATATAAACACAATATAGAAGGAAACAATCGTTAAAAGCCATAAATAAAACCAAAAGCAGATAAACAACAAATAAATTTAAAACAGCAATAAATGAGAAATTATCAACCAAAACCCAAATTGCCTTAGCAGGCCAATATATCTATAACTATCCATCTCTGTGTGAATGCTTTTGTCTGTCAATGGAAGCTCAATTCCCTGTGAACCAAGGTGCTGCCACCGAGAAGGCCCTTTCTCATATCTCTGCCAAACATACCTCTGAAGCTGGTGGAACATAGCAAAATGGTTTCTCTCGAACACATTAAGATTCAGACAGGCTCATATATGAGAAAATGGTATTTTATATAACCCAGTCCCATTTAGGGCTTTTAAAGGTCACAACCAGCACTTTGAATTGTGCACCAAAATATACCAGTAGCTAGTGAAACTCTTGGGGGGGGGGCATTCTTACAATAACTGGCCCTGTCAAAAACTTGATTGCAGCATTCTGTGGTACCAATGCTTCACCCAATTTGCCATCTTAAATGTTCAGGGCACACTGCCCGCACAATGTTGCTTATAAAACTCTAAAGCACCTGAAAATAAAATCAAAAGACATGTTGTTGTTGTTTAGTCGTGTCCGATTCTTCGTGACCCCATGGACCAGAGCACGCCAGGCACTCCTGTCTTCTACTGCCTCCCGCAGTTTGGTCAAACTCATGCTGGTAGCTTTAAAAGCGCCGTCCAACCATCTCGTCCTCTGTCGTCCCCTTCTCCTTGTGCCCTCCATCTTTCCCAACATCAGGGTCTTTTCCAGGGAGTCTTCTCTCCTGATGTGGTGGCCAAAGTATTGGAGCCTCAGCTTCAGGATCTGTCCTTCCAGTGAGCACTCAGGGCTGATTTCCTTCAGAATGGATAGGTTTGATCTTCTTGCACTCCATGGGACTCTCAAGAGTCTCCTCCAGCACCATAATTCAAAAGCATCAATTTTTCGGCGATCAGCCTTCTTTATGGTCCAGCTCTCATGCAGTATATACCTTCAGCCACTAAAGTTTTTTTAAGTGCAGCACAATACAGTCAAATGCAGACAGAATTAAGTCACTGCTGTTATTTTTAAAAGATCAGCAGCAGTGATGTGACTCTGAATATCTTCCTGGGAAGGATGTTTCAAATGTTGGGGCCACCACTGAGAAAGCCCTGTCTATAGCACCTGATTGGGCAGGCTGACAAAAGACTAATCTATGTTTTAGCAAATGATTTTAAAAGCTGGTTTTGAATTTTGGTGTTTTTCTTATGACTTATAAGGCAATGAACCAGAGCGGCACATGCTGCATCTTCAGTCTCTCAAAAGAAATGAAAAATGTTGTGTGCCTTTAACACCAGCCAAGGTATCAAAGCCTTTTTCAAATGAGTCTGGCAATTACTGAAGTCATCAAGCAAGGACTTGCTCAATATCTGCCCACCTTCAGGGGTTAGGCAGCTAGGTACCAGAGAATGATGTTTTATGTGGTAGCACTCTGACTGCGGAATAGCAGCCACTCAAAAAAACAATCCCTTTTTTTCATTTTTACAACACGTTAAAATAGTTTCAGTCTGAAAGGGCTTTGACTGACAAACAAACTTGGAGGTAATTCTGTTTGTTAGCTTCTTATTAGTTTTAGTGTGCTTTTATTTCTTTAATCAGAATTTTATATATATTAGTCACCTTGTGATAAATGTGATACATGCATGCATATTTTATATACACAAATGTTTCCTAGCATTTTCAGAAAGTTTTCACAGAACTTCAGACACCTGTTACATGTTCATCGCCTAGAAAGTGAAGCAAAGATCATGAGCACCAAGTGGCAGATAACTTTCCAGAGAAGCTCCTCCCTGCTGTTGCTCTTGATGGGAGTTCAGAGAAAGACGACCCGTCCTGGTATTTCCATGTGTGAACAACAGTTAACCAAGGAGGAAAGCAATAGTGCCTTCTCAGCAGGTTTAGATTCCAGTAGTTATTCCCATTTCCAAGGCCTCTGGTTAATGGGCTAGTTACCCTCTTACCCATGCCCACAGTATAAGTGGTTTTCCTGGTGGCTTGTATTTTTAAAATCTTTTTCTCCCTTCATTCCCACTTCTCTGGTGCCTACACCAATCCTGTTGAATCTGTAGCCACAGTGCAATGATCTCTGTGCAAGCTCTCTATATGATGTGATTGTCTTAATGTTTGATAGACAAATTTTCAACACACAAAGTGCAACCTGCAACTAAATTTTTTGCCCCCTTTTAACAAAATACACCATATTTTAACCATATTGTTTCTACTTCAAATATTTTAACAACCATTCTCCACAGACCTGGATCATCACGAAAACACACGCACACACAAACGTGCACACACATTGCAGCCAATAAAATACAAAGACTATAAAGAAATCTAAAACTAGCTCACAAATTGATGAAGATTTATCTAACTTATGGTGAATCTAACAGTCTTGTGAGACCTGTCCTCAGTCTCTCTCTCTCTCTCTCTCTCTCTCTCTCTCTCTCTCTCTCCAATTCCAGGTTAATTGTTCCATTATTGCGGTGGAATCTGTGGGGCTGCTCCAGAAGATAATGTAGGAATCAGGTTTTGATTGAAACAGGTAGAGCAGATGACATCACCAGCCCTTTACCAATTGGCCAACAATTTGTTTCTGGGTTCAATTCAAGGTGCCGATTTTGACCTTTAAATCCCTAAACAGCTTGAACCAGAAAATAATTGATTCCCCTTATGCGAGCCTGCTCAAGCATCTGGTTCCACTTCAGAGGCCCTTCTCTGGGGCCCCCCACGATTGGAGGTGTGGCAGGTGGACATTAGAGATAAGGCCTTTGCAGTTGTGGTACCCCAAATCTGAAACTGACCCCTAAGAGAGGTGCGCCTGGCCTCATTGCTGCTCATCAAAAAGCAAGCAGCAAACGGTTTTATTTCAGAAGGATTTACAGAGACTCTGCATTTTAGCAAGGATATTTGCTGGTGGTTTAAAATGGTTGCTGATATATATATTTTTTAAACTTACAGTTTTTATGGTGGCCTTAATGATTGTAAGATACATTGATTATAATAATAGAAAGGTCAGGTAAAAATACTAAATATAAATAAATAAAACACTGGAAAGCTGACTGCACAAAGCTTCCGGTTCTGTGTTTGCTGAGCTGAAACTGACCAGACAATCAGCACTGCCATCAGCCAAAGGTGGACAAAGAATAGTAGATACTTTTTAAAATATTTCTCTCCGGTGACTTCACTTCCTAATTCAGCCAACATGGAACTTGTTTAATGGGGAATGGGCCATGGGAACACTTTGTGTTCAAACTGATGATCCATTTAATGCAAACGAGAGCAAATATATCTACTAAAATATTAACTGTTGAAACTTTCTAAATTATCGCCGTTCATTGTCCCGTCACATACATATGGCATGATCCAATCTACTGTGAGCTCCATACCCGCATGCAGAAAGACGATCTGCCTCCCTCCCCTACCCCCCCCCCATCTAGATGTCCATACAGACAGCACAAGGGGGCAATGGGAAGCCTATGAGGATTTTCTGCAAGTTGCTTGTGCAGAGCCAGCATGGTAGGTGGATATGGGAAACATGCACCAATGTGGCACGAGGGAGAAACCAATTTACAATGAGCATCTGGGAATCCTCTGTATGGGGAGCATGTCCATAATTTACTGCTAAATTCAGAGGCGGGGAGACACTGTCCTTGAACTATTTCCTCTGCCCGCACCCCCCCCCCCGCCAAGTAAATTCCTCTCACATAAGTGCAGCATGCCTTTTGAACCCCCCCCCCCCAAGTACAGGGTGCAAACTTCAAAAGAGTCCGCAACTGTTGATTCCTGGGACAAAACTGTCTTCTCAACTGTCATGCGCGGAGGGAGGGAAACGATCATCTCCTCCTCCCCCCTCTCAAAATGTCCCTTCAGAACAATTATTTCTTACCAGAGCTTTAAAAGTCTGAAAGCTGTCAACTGACAGAATAAATTGCTCTCTTCATAGACAAATCAGAATACTGTATTTACCTTTGGGGTAGGACAATTTTTTGATAAGTGACCTCGTTTATTACAATTTCTGCAAGTGACATTTTTGTCTGGCGTGTAGTATCTGTTGTTGTGCCGCACTGTAACGTAGTTGCCAATCCGTGCCTAAAGAAATGAAAAGAAAATTCATTAGAAGTTTGCAGCTTATTGCCTTGCCATTCTAGACTTTTGTAGCTATTAAGGCTAGGAGGTGGAGTCAAAAATTCAGCTCTGCATTTGTATACTTGTTTAAACAAAAGTCATCTAAATCCCTGGTAAGCCTTTTACCCACTGGTAACTGTATAAGCTCCCTTCAAAAAAGAAAGAAAGAAAGAAAGAAAGAAAGAAAGAAAGAAAGAAAGAAAGGAAAGCATTTTTAGAAGTTGGTATGTCTCTTTTTCCCGTAGTTAAGCCAACCTTTGTCAGCATTAGTTCACAATAAAGAATTCTGCAAAATGCATCAAAAATAATTGCAAAAACAACTTGCCATGAATAAATTCATGGGATATATAATCTCTTGAAGCACTTTTATTCTATGAGTGAATGGGTAGATAAAAAAAGAAACGAGAAAACATAGATGAAACAGCAAAAACAAAAACCTTGACCTCACACATTTTCTATAAATTCTTAGGTATGTGAATATGAAAAAGAGAAAATGGAATTTTAAGGGGGGAGAGAACTTGGAATAAGAGACTCTCAAAGCCTTCTCTTTCTTAATATTGCTGTTTTCCAAAGACCATCTGTGAAATGATTTTGCAGTGAGACACGGTCATTTCCTTATTTATTTGGCTGAATACAGTGTAGTCAATGGCAGTAATGGGCACCTACTGTCTTTCTAATACTGAAGACTACAGTTGATAGTGACCATGTTATTCAATTAGAGGAGTACATTCTGTGCCAGCTATTTGTGGATAAAGCTAAAGGTCAAGTAAACGTGTGCACAGATGTAAAAGGCAGCCGCTGCGAGAGCTGATACGCAAGAGTAATAAGAAATCTAAGCGCAAGAACTGTAGAATATCAAAAACATAAGGAAGTATAATAGAGAGCAATCTCTGGAAAAGCAGTTGTTTGGGATAAAATTGCATAATTCTGCTTTGACAGTTTTCTTTTCATAAAATCCTACTTGCCACAATTTTTCTGGCTTTGGAATACTTAGCATTTTGCAGCGGTGACCAAGCCAAAAATGGTGACCAGCCACACAAGTAAAATATTTTCAATGATATTCAGTCCAGTTTTCCTTTCTTTTCCATTTGTATCTGCATGTTTGATGTTCGTTGTATTTTGTCTTCATTTTCAAAATTAATAAAGTATCTTTTTAAAAATGACAAAAACTGATGCAAACGTCCAATTGCTCACTGCCTCAACAATACATTAGTGAGCAATCTTTGGGTTCAGTCAGTTCAGAATCTATAGTTTATATGACCATTTTTCTATATGACCACTTTTCTATATATTCACTAACTACTTTCAAGAATCAGGTTCTTCAGAGCCAAATTTGTAAGGTATGTGGCAGAAAAACAGAAGCAATCATTAGAAAATTTGAGCTCTGCATCTAGTTCCAGTACAATTAAAAGTCAAATTTGAGAAAGCAAACTTGAAATTACATGTTAATTAGTTTTCTCTAACCCTTTGATGCTGTAGCAAAAAATGCTAAAGCTATTCTAGGCTGCATCAATATGGTGTCAAGGGAATCAAGGGAAGGAATAGTCCTTCTCTATTCTATCTTGATTAGACCACACCTGGAATACTGTGTCCAGTTCTGGGCACCACAGTTGAAGAAGGATATTGACAAATCAGAATGTGTACAGAGAAGGGGAACCAAGATGATCAAGAGTCTGGAAACCAAGCCTTTCGGGAATGGTTGCATATGTTTGTATATGTTTAGCTTGGAGATGCGAAGACTGAGAGGAGATAGGATAGCCATCTTCAAATATCTAAAGGGCTATCACATGTAAAATGGAACAAGCTTGTTTGCTCCTTCTCTGGAGGATAGGACCTGAACCAATGCCTTCAAGTTACAAGATATATGATTCTGACTAAACAACAGAAATAACTTTCTGACGTTAAACAGGTCTTCAACAGTAGGATGGACTCCCTTGGAAGGTAGTGGACTCAGCTTCCTTGGAGGGTTTTAAGCAGAGGTTGGGTGGCCATCTGTCATGTATGATCTAGCTGAGATTCCTGCATTGCGGCGGTTGCACTAGATGACCCTCAGGGTCCCTTTTGACTACCATTCTATGATTCTAAAAATAACATCTAAACGGAAGGGCTTATTCATACTGCAAACTTCTTCTAAAACATACTTCACTGCACTGAGTGGTCTTCCTGAAATTTGGAAGGCAGTTTGTAACACCAAATTTGCTCAGCTCATAATGCTAAGCCATAATCCAACCCACAAATTCTTCTCCAGCTCAGATCATAATTCAAGCTGGGTAACTCCCTCCTGTCTTAGTCTCCATCCACTACCCTCTTCCTGGTAACATCAAACATGATTAGAAATGACCTTTGAAAGGCCTCCCCCTCTGGTGTTAGGATCCCTTGGAAATGTTATTTCTCAAGGACATCACAGTTGTAGCCAGGAATAAGGGGCAGGGTGGTTAGTGTTCTGGGACTCTCAGGGAAGGGGAGATATTTTAAGCTCCCAATGACATCTTCAACTCTCAGAGAAAAGCAAAAAGTTTTTTTTTTGGGGGGGGGGTGACAAAATTGGCTCAGGCCCAATTATGAACCAAGTCAGCAATTAGTCTGAAGTACTTATGAGCAAAACATTTTTTACATTTGGAAAGTCAAATACTGCTGCTAATGGAGTTGCGCAAAAGAAAAAATGTGTTGGCTTGTTAAGCTTCTACAGTGGTACCTCAGGTTACATATGCTTCAGGTTACAGACTCCGTTAACCCAGAAATAGTGCTTCAGGTTAAGAACTTTGCTTCAGGATGAGAACAGAAATCGTGCTCCGGTGGTGGGGCGGCAGCAGGAGGCCCCATTAGTTAAAGTGGTGCTTCAGGTTAAGAACGGACCTCCGAAACGAATTAAGTACTTAACCCGAGGTACCGCTGTATAAGCAAAGAAAAGTGTTCCTTGCATTGTTTCTAATTCTATATCAACCTTTATAGAAAGGTTGGCTATGATGTGACTCTACTGATGTAGCTCCCACTTGGCCACCACCATCAGGACCACCAAGAACCATAAGCTATGATAGGAGGGAGTTTAGTTAGATCAGGGCAACTTTCAATGAAGAGGGAAGATCTATACACTTTTTCTCCCTATACAAATTTGACAGCTAACTCACAGAAAGCCACTTTAACTCCATTTGTGTAAGGTGAGGAGGCTGCTTTGTACCAAACCATCCCACTGAATATAATTCTTTATTAAGTTTTTAGTTCATATATTTCTTGGTTGTTTTATGTTTCCAGTTATTATGAGGATACATAAATTTATCACTGCAAACGTACCCATAGCTGTACTTTTCCAAAATACACTTTCTTGATTTACTGTATATTCTATAGTCAGTGAAAGGTATTATGGAATGGAATAAATGTTCACTTGAATGCCAAATCTTGATTAAAAAGAAAATAACTATATCTACTGACGAGCATTATCTTTTTCTTCCTCCTGTAATAATTGGTTGCTGGTTATCGTGCTACAAATTATCATGGGAAATTGAATTTTTATTTCTTACAAAATGTAATGAAAACAACACAATTTATAAGACAATACACCCTGCATTTGTAAAAGCAACACATCTACATATAGACTATTTTTGTTGTTTATCTTAGTGTGTCCACTCTTCTGACATGACCAGGCACTCTATCTTCCACGCTCCCAGTTTGTCAGACTCATTTTTGTAGTAAACGCTGTCAACTCTTGTCTTGGCCCTTCTTCTGTGCCCTCAATCTCCACAGGTTTTCCAGGGAGTTTCTTTCTATGACTTCTCTTCATGAGACATTTTAGCTTATACAGAGGGATTTAGAGAGGCACCACACAGAGTTGTTGGTCAGTCACAAGAAACAGCCAAAGAATATGCAACATTTTATCAATTTACCTCTACGTCTTTATCACTGATGTTCCAGTCTGCTCCACCTTCTCCTGAAAAAGATATTTTAAAAACCATTAAAACTGATTTTCAAAAAATATGTCTAATTTCTCATTTAAAAGTTGTAAATCTTATTTTTAAAAGGCTGAAAAAAATGAACTTCAGTAGTGACACGCCCAAACCTTTAGTTTATACTTTTACCCACCTTGGTGCTTGATCATATCAGGATCAGGATCTGCAACAATCTACCATGTGTAAATAATGGTGTGAAAATTGCAGTTTTTTCCCCAATATGAGCATATTTGTTTTCTAAGGAACCCTGAGGCTCCTTGGAAGCTACTGGAGATTTTCTACTAAAAAGAGCAGTAATAGTATACAAAGTCTCCTGAAACAGTTTCCCTACCACTACAATCATCTTCTGTAATGTGTAGCTTCAAGGGAGAAGAGGCTCAGTTCGTGTGGGACAAGGGGAAGGCCCAACAGATTTTGAGGTGCATTTATTTATTTTATTTCCCCAGTAGCTTCATGAGTTTTATCATCTTTGGAGTGATTGGGCTGTTCAACACTTTTATTTTTATTTTTAACTATTGTTGTTAAATAGCCTTGAAATTTTAACAGGTGGCTTATAATTATACACACAGGTAAAGCCAGCACATCACATGAACAGAGTGCCCACTCTAGAAAATAATATCCAGTAATATGGAAAATTTGAAACTGACTGCTGCAGCATGTGCTCATTAATGCTGTAGTGATTGCTATTTCCTGCATGACTTGTACATTTTCATTTTACCGGTGAAAGACTGGTAAAAACAAAGTTTGCTGTTTCTCCTTTTTTGCCCCATCTATGGACTGCCAATATCTTAATTAGTCCCAAACTTGCTTCTTCCCTCATTTACTATTTCATGGTTAGAAATTAGAAGAACATCTAATATTATTATCAGGAAACTTTTGTTAAAAAAGAAGTATCTGCTTGATACTTCAAATAGCCACCAATAACAAAAATACCTTTTGTCCCACAAAGTTTTACAAATAATCACACAGTGGTTACAAATAATCACACAGTGCAAATGATATTACCCACAAAGAAATAGATGCCAAATCTTGTGTTGCCCCCAGATTCACTATTTGCTCATTTAAACAAATAACCAATGTAATCGTTACAGGGGCCCAGCTCTAGTTTTTTCCCCCTTGTGAACCAACAATTTCACCGCACAAGAATCCACTAACTACTAAACAATAAGAAAAATATTTGCCCAATGACTTTTCAATCTGTTTAAAGAATTCTTGAATATCCTGTCCTGTAATACCAAACACTGCATATACTGAGCACAATTTTTCTTAGTGCATCTAATTACCACACCAATCTCAAAATTTGATCCATTGTGCCCTGGACAGATGTATGTGACAACAGTCTTCAGACACAGCTCCAAAGCCCTATTAGTGAGCAACATCCAGTATCTGACTGGCTCATTAAACTACATTTTCAATGGCCAACTGATGTCGGGAAAGGGAGAAATAAGAAATGCCTAATTCTCTGCATGCAATCCATCTCTGATTATCTGGTTCCTGACAGCACAATTCCCTGGTTCCTGATAGCGAATTAATTCCTTAGTTTCTCTCTACTTGCAGTTGAGTTGGTATCAATCACACTATCTTTCCTTTCAGCTCCCATAAAGGCTTTTAGTTCAAGCCTAAACTTACAGATGTTTCTTCAATTGGATCAGATTTTTTTCTGAAGCAAATCTATGTATATCATGTCTACCAAAGGGCAATTAATACTATATTGCTGCAGTGAGCCATAAGCAACTTTTTTTTGCAGTATGTGAATGTTGTATTTTTAGGATACAATTTTATGACATTAATACAGCAAAGTAGAGGTGACCCCTTGGGTCAATACATATACATTATACTTGCCTTATTTTTAAAATAAGATTTTATTAAAAGAAGGAAGGAAGGAAGGAAGGAAGGAAGGAAGGAAGGAAGGAAGGAAGGAAGGAAGGAAGGACAGAGTCCTCTCTCAAAAGTAGCTCTCAACCCCTGTCATCTACAAAAAGTGGTGGACCCTTCCTGGAAGATTTCCTTTCTACTCCCAGTCTCTAACCCTGGGAGATCTTCACTTCCCTTCCTCTCACCTGGGTCCTTCCAGCAACCATCTACCACCTCCATGTGCCTGACCTTTGGATCTCAAAAATGGCCCAGAGCAGAGGACACCAAAGTAGAAAAGGGGAAAAAGAAAGAGCCTCCATCTGAACCACAGAAGTGGACCACTCAACTTTTACCAGTGTGTTCTGCAGTGTGTGCAGCTGCAGCCAAACTTGGGATAAGATCACATATATAAGCAACCCTGAAGCAGCATGCTGCAGGTGGTCATTGCGCTCTACTGCCAGCTGCCAGGAGAGAGCGGAGTCCCTAAGATGGTTGGATGGCACCTTGTACACCTCCTTCCGGCAACTGCTGCAGCCAAGCTGGTGCCAAACATATTGCTCTGCTTTCCTTTGAACCACATCAGCAAGGCTGGGGTTGTCGTTTGGGCAGTTAGTACCTCCATACACACCGCCCAGGCTTGTGTCCTGGGGAGGTGACTTCAGTGCTGCTAATGCAGCGATTTGACTTTATCCCCAAAGGCACACTCCATTGTCTCTCAAATGCCAACAATACTTGCCTTATTAACAGAACCAATCCAATGCCACAGTCAACTCTGTTCCTTCTAAAGCAGTCAACAAAGTTGCTTAATAACGATCTGTATGTATTACCCACTGAAGCAGCTAGGTGGATGTCAGTTACTGTAATGAATCCAACTTTTCCAGGTGGTGGTGAATGTGAATAGCTCGTGTTGCGTTAGGTTCATGTTGCGTCTTTTCAGCTCATGAACACGGCAAACCCAGAAGTGTATACTTCCAGGTTTCGCCGCGTGCAAACATGCAGAAGCACTGCTCTAGTTGCGGACTTTTCGGGGGCGAATGGCACCCTGGAATGGATCGTGTCCACAACTAGAGGTACCACTGTACCTCAATAAGAGTTATATGTAAGATACTGTAATACGTATGGGGTTGCTCGTGCGTAAGCTGCCGCCTCTCCAGGCTAAATTTCCTTGTTAAACCTTTCTGACTGGACAGCCATTCTCTCCGTGGCTGCCTCAGTCGCTGGCAGAATCCGCCAGTGGGCGTTTCTTAAACCTCTACCAACATAAAAGTTGTTTGACGTCCAGTCTCCTCCTACTCTCACTGCGCGGAAGCCTTCTGCGCAGAGAGGACGTGGGTAGCGGAGGACCTGTGCTCTCCCCGCTGGTGTCCAGTGAAGAGTCCTGGAGCCTCCTCTCCGATTCCCCCCTCTGCCCCCCTTTATCCCTGGTGTTGTGCTGATTTGCTTCCCCCTCTACTGAGCTGCCTCTCTTCCTGCTGGGTCCTTCTCCAGCATCATCTGAGAGCCTTCTCTTCGCCTCTAGCTCCGATGTCAGTTCCCTGACAGATACATATGTAACTTTTTATGGAACCAACATGGCAATGATTCTATATATTCAAGTAATTAGTCCAATAAAACTTAATAGTACGTAAACAGTACAATGGAACAAAGTTTATATCTCTTTCTCAGCCAACACTTCACTTTCCACACACACAAAGGCTCTTTCCATCATCTAGTGGAGGAATCCCACTGTTGAAAGAATTAAAGAGGAGGAGACTATTGCCAGTTCCACCTCTCACATCATTGCACTGGGTTCCCCAACCTGTCAGTACAGATTCTGGGACAGCACACAAAGGGCTGCAGGGGGAAAGGGGAACTAACAAATCTCACCTCCCACTAGTGGCAGCACAATCTGAATCCAAGGTCCCATCTGTACTCTACATTGAAAGCACATTTCATACCAGTCATGACTTCCCCCAAAGAATCCTGAGGATTATAGCTTGTTAAGGGTGCTGAGAATTGTTAGGAGTCCCCTATTCTCCTCAAAGAGCTACAATTTCCAGCATGGTGTAACCCTCAGTGTCCCTTCCCAGGGAACTCTGAGAATTGTTCCCAGATTCTTGATGAAACCATGACTGTTTAAAGTGGTATCAGGCTGATTTAAATACATAGTGCAGATGGGGTCCAAGTCAATTTCTTTCAACATTTTGTCATATAGTGTTTTTATCGTCTTTTTTTCTGAATTTATTCCAATTTGCTTACATTTTCCTTTAAGTGTGTTAATTTAAATCAGAGATGTGACACAGGATGGAAAGGTGCTATTTTTTGCTATTTGGATATCATACTTCTATCAAACATTTTAAAAGGAAGCATCAAGTAATATAATAGTTTTGTTAGTAAAATACTAGCTAGCTTTTAAAAAACAATAGCAGCAGTTCACACACTACTGAAAAAATGTTCAGTTTATTATTAATCATGGCCTTCTCAGCACGGCCATTCAGTTATCCGAGATTTCATGATCTGCATTTTATTTTTTAACTCCATTTGATCTTTCTTGGAATTAATTTTGTGGCTTACAGACCAGTTCTCTAAACTACCAAGTTCATTCCAATCCAAAACCCTATCCTCCAAAGCATTTACAATCAAATTTTACTAGTTTACTTATGAGAATGTCATGTGGAACTGTGTCAAAAGCACTGCTAAATTTGATTATGCTGAAGATTATATCTACTGCATTCCCTTTATCCACTAAACCACTTATCTTATGAAAGACGGAGATTAGTCTGAACTGGCATGTATTTCTAAAATTTGCACTATGTACTAAGCAATCACCTCTGAATTTTCTTCCAGGCACATCTTACAGAGCAAAAACCAAATTCCTTTGTGGGATTTCAGCAGGGTAAAAGATTTATTGGCCCAATGGAAAGATTCTTCATAGAGCTGCCCTCTTACACTACCTCCACACCACAAAGCATGGTACAGATAGCATGCCAAGAGTTCATGCTTGGAAAATGGCTACAATTATTGCAATTCCTTCATGCGTCTGCATACTAAATGTGCTCGCAGATATCATATTTGCATTAATTCTTGAATATGCACATTATCAGCCATCTATGATCTCTAAAAACCATGGGGCAGTTTTTTATAATGT